ACATTGTAGGAAATTAAAAGCCGCATCTTTTTTCTCTTTTAAATTTTTTAATAAAACGAATCGTAAAGTTTCTAGAGACCAAAACCTTTCAAATTTAAAATTTAAAATATTTTTTTTCATGATCTATTGCAGGAAGCCGAATTAAAAACATTCCTGAAATGCGTTTTTAAAAAAATTAATTATTTAATTATTTATTAACAACTGAATATTTTCTTACACTAAATTTGCAATTACTCTGTTGCTTGTTAATGAAATTTAATAAAATTTGGTGAGTATATAGAAAGTTAACAAGTTAATATTGACTCCATTTTAAAACCAAATTTTCTCAATAGTCAAACATTCAAAAAATTTTTGACGCGATATTTTTAACATTTAGAGGTATTCTGAAGGGATAAGATTTGAAAAAAAGTAACTGAAGAAAAATTCTAAAAAAAATCGTTTTTTTAAATGCTTGTAAATTGTTTATTTATAATTTTTCGGTTCTTTAAGCACGCCATTCGATATAGCAGTTCTTGAGACATAAGAATTGTCTATTGCAAAATTGTCAACGCAGCGTTTAAATGTTGAAAAATGGCCTCAAAGAACCTGTAAAAGTTTGTACATTTCGGATTTAATGGGTTAATGCACGCCCTGTAATTTTCCTATTGTATCTTAAAAAAAACACTTCTCGCAATTTCAACGAAAAAATCTTGGGCATACGGGGAGCGAACACGGGTCCGCTGGGCGGGAACGAAAGAAACGCACGCTTTACGCAACTCGGCCGTTCTGATCAGTGATATTAGAATAAATGCTTGACGTGTTTCACTGTGCTTAATAATATTACGAATTTGTGCATATTTTTATTATTTTCTAGGCAAATAAACACTTTAGATGTTTATTTGATTTTAAGTGATTTATTGATAATTTAATTTAAACATTAGACAATTATAAAAAAACTAATTACTAATTTTTTAAATTTATCATCCTCAAAAATTATATGTAAAATTTTATAAATAAAATAATTTTAATAAATTAATAATTATTGATATAATATAATATAATATAATATTATTAATGTACTAGCACCTCCGATGGCCTTGGGCCGTCTCTGTTGCTTCTATTCTTGTCCATTCTATTTAATTTTCAATTTATGTTTCATAATTTATTACAATTATTTTATTAAATATTTAATAATATTGTTAACAAAAAGCAAAAAGGCATGTAATTATAGAGAAAGTTTCAAACAGAAAAATGATAATCTATAATATTTGTAAAATATGTCTAAAAATAATAATAATTGTTGAATAATTTTTTTTTAAACTAAAAACACTTTTTTATTCAAGGTAATATTATTTTCATAATAATTTAACTTATTATAATTATTTTATTATAATTTAATAAATTTTATTATTTTAAAAAAGCGCGCGCTATTTTGTCTTGAGCCAATCAGGTGATTTCAACTAAATGTAGATTGTGTTCGTTTCTGATTGCAAACAGAGAGCTGCAAACATTTACAACAAATAATGCTTTCCAAGTCCGTATATTTATTGCAATTAAGTAAGTTATATAAAAAATATATATGGTGGAACAATAATTTGAGGTGATTTTCATAAAATGAATATTGATTTAGATGCTCTGGAAAGCAAAGTTCATTTTTTCTTACATTCGATTTTTTCGACCATCGAGATATTTCGATACATTTTCATGTGTTTTGCATGCACTATCTTTTTTAAGAAAGGGAAATCTTCAATAAATTAAACATAAGTACCAGGGGGCCTGGTTCACCCATAGAAGGTTTTTTTTCCTCAGTGCCATAAAAGTTAATATTACTTTTTATAAAAAAAGTTATTATTAATGAAAGGTATCTTTTATACTATAGTGTTTTAATATTTTTGTTTACTTTGGGGGTTTGACAAGAATTCCCAGCCGAAACCCCAAATAGGGTGTTGACTATAGATTTAAAACAGGGCTCTGATCAGGGTCTCGGAAGTATTCTCTATTTAAAAAAATGTAAATAAAGTAAGTTTTTAAGATTACCTTTTTTAAAAGAGTTATTAATAATTTAAGTGGGTACTTATATGAGTTGAAGTTTTTCAAAAAAATCGATTTTGGGCTTTCATCATTTTCTGAATGTACCCAAGTAAAAATTTCTCTCAAACTCCGATATTGACAACAGGTGCAATCATGCACCAATACTGGCTGGCCAACAATTGGCTTACCAGTATTGGTTCAGTTCTGATGTGGATTAAATTCTGTACTGTGTCAATACTGCAAGCCAATACCGGCATACAGTATTTTCCAATACTGTGCCAGTATTATTGAGACAGTAATGGCAAACCAGTACTCGGTCAGTATTAATTCAATACCGAATGCCAGTATCCAGAAAAGTTATGAAAATTGACCTCCATGAAGTTGGTGTTGACGCTCAGCGCCGAAAATTATTTTTCACAGGACCAAAAATGTCAAATTATTTTTTTTTAAAGATTTTCGGTCCAAATATGTAATGCCTTAAGAAATACTTTTTAAGGTATTATGTGAACCCAAAACTTTTTTAAAAAGGGTTGGTATTTTTGGTCCCATGAAAAATAATTTTCGACGTTGAGCGTCGACGCCAACTTCATAGATATGAAAATTGTGTATTTTTGTTGGTTAGAAATTAAATTTACATAATATTTTTTTAAAATTATTTTAATACTTCTTTTCGATTACTGCAATGCGTTCGTTAACGGAATTATGAAATTTAAATTTAATATTTAAACTTTTTAATAAAAGAAATACATAATTAATCAAGTTCTCAAATTATTTTTCTTACACTAAAAAAATATATTTGAATCAAATAAACTCTATTTTTACCAATAATTTCATTCAATTACGGGAATTTAAACAAATTATTTGAATAATAAAATAAAGAGTAAAATGTGAATATAAAAAAATAACAATTTAAAAGTTATTAAAATAATTTATTATTATTAATAGTTAATGGTATGAGTCGGTTCTTCGATCCAGCTGCTCAATTAATGTAAAAAGCAAAAAGAACCCTGAATTTTGAATATCTACTAGTGCTGGCTTATTACTGGTTACTATAATTTTGCCCGTACTGGCAAAATACAGAATTACTGCTAAATTACAGTATTGAACCAGTACTGAATGCCAGTACTAAGCCATTACTAATTAACCAGTACTAATAAACGTTATCATCCCAAACATATGCCAGTATTGGTTCAATATTGGCGGTCAGTACTTTGCCAGTAATTGCCAGTACTGGCGCAACTCTGCGCCGGTTGTAAATTTTTGCTTGGGTAGACCATTTTGGAAGTATTTCATGAAAATTTTAGACTGATTCGATCAATTTGGAATGAGATATATATATGTTACTTTCAGCAAAGTAAAGAATCGTGCACTTTATAGTAGTTTCGCGGTACCGAGTCATGCAGTCTACACTGAAAAAAAAGTTAATTGAATCAAGTTAATGCATTTACTTGAGGTACTTTACTTGAAACAAGACGATATTTTCTTATTGGAAGAAATTTATTTTCTTGAGTCAAGTAATTTTGAGCATTGAGCAATGTTCTTGAAATAGGAAAATGTGAGTTTCATACAAGTAAATATATCTTACTGTTTCAAGCGAAATGTTTTACTTGCGTCAAGAACAGAAAAAGAATTGAGTCAAGAATATTATTTTCTCATGTCAAGTGATTTACGTTGAGTATTTTATTTTCTTGGGTCAAATCGTTTTGTTGTTTCCTTTAAAACAACATTTTACTTAATCTAATACTCATAGTCTTGAACCAAGAAAATGGAAAGATTTATATTGTTTGAATTAAACATTAATCACTCCAAGTGTTTAATACTTTAAGCATTTTCATATATTATATTGTTTCAAGAACATTCAATTTCTAGAAATAATATTATATTATCTTAAATGAAATAATTAATTTTTTCAGTTGAAATAGTGATATAATCTTGAATGAAATCATTTTTTTGTTTTTTTGAAAATCTTTTTTATTTAATTCAACGCTAATATAGTCTTGAGTAAAGAATCATTAGAATCAAGAATATTAGGTTATTAAGCAAAATAATAAAATATTGTCTGAAGAATTTTCATTTCTTGAATCAAATAGTTTTATTCATTTGCTTTGAATTAATTTTTTACTTAATACAAATCCCGTATTCTTGATCCAAGAAAATATTTCTCTTCAAATGGATGTGAAACTTAAATAGGAGTTTTTGAAAACCATCAATTGAGTCAGGATGGCATAGTGGTCTACGTTACTGCCTTTGGTGCGCGCAACTCGGGTTCAGTTCCTCGGACCCTGAAAAATTTTCATTCAAGGTATACTTATTTTAGTTGTGTTAAGTATTAATTAAATATAAATATGTATGTAAAATAAACATTATTTAAATAAATAATAAAAAATATGAATGATAATAATAAATAAAAATGTTTGACTTAAGAATTAGACATGGTGGGATAAGGAAGGGGGGGTAAATTCAAGTAAATATTTACTTGTATTAGAGAAATATTTTTTTGGTTGAACTCCATAAGTTTTCTCAAGTCAAGAAAATATTTCCTTGAGTTAATATATATATGATCTTGACTTAATATATTTTACATTTCTTAGAAGTCAATAAACTTCTTAGACGAATTCCATATTTTCTTAGACCAAGAACATATGGTCTCCACACAATATAAATAATATTTTGATTTAAATCTTGTCTTACTTGATCCAATATTGCAAAGATTTGAATGAATCAAATGAAACAATTGATTTGACTACATATATTCTCAGAACAAGAAAATATTTTCTTCCTTTAATGTATTTTACATTTGTTACAAGTTGATTAATATATTGCTCGAATTCCATATTTTCTTGGATCAAGAATATATGCTCTCGTCCCAAATATACTATCTCAAGACAATCGTTTACTTGAACCAATGCCGTAATTGACTTGTCCCTATTCAATTCCACGGTTTACTTGAAGCAAGTAAAATTTTCTTGATTCAATACTATTTTTTTCAGTGTATGTAGTTCTTAAAATAGAATGAGAAGGCAGAGTACTCCACAGACAGCATCAAACTGAAGCTACAGAAACTGCAAATGATTTTATTTATATCTAGAAATTACTTATTGCAAACTGTAATTATACTAGTGCCTGTACTGGATTTGTCATGGAAAACTATTCAAAAAAACTATTGAAAAAAAAACTATTCAAAACTATTGAACTGTCCTGGATATTTCAAGGCGCTAGGAACTTTGAACTGAGGTCATCACGCGCATTCATCTAGTCTCTTTATACAGTTAAACGTTAGGTAAGTAGTAAAAGTTTATTCTGTTTATCAAAAACTATTTAAGTTATAACAAACAATATTTCATAAGGACTAGCTATATTCTTTAAATTTTGATTATTGAATGATTCTAACCTTAAATTTTTAGCTTAATCAGTAATTTAACTAAATCTAAAAAAAACATGATCTATACCGGAAGAACGAACAAAAATATAATATGTTCAATAATAATTTTATTAATCAATCTTTTACGTTCAATAATTTTGTTTTATATTTAAATAAATAAGTTTGAAACGGTGGATTCGAATTGCGTACGGTTTTTCAGGTATGATCCTTTTTTGTTCGAATTGCGTCCCGATCCATCCCTGGCTGTGTTTGGATTGCATGTCGTTCCGTCACAAATCGCCTTCGTAGCACCAAATTTTTTAGTTAATAGACATGAAATATTTAATAAAATTTTTTGGTAGAGTTAACCAAATTCCCCAGTTAAATATTGCTTTCTTCTTTGTTTTGTCAACCAAATTTAAGTATTATCAAGAAAAGTGCTTAAAAAAATTATTTTGTGCAACACCTGAAAGAAAAGCGTTACTTTACTTTAACGTAAATGCAGCACAAAGTTGTTGATTTCTGCATTCTAATAAAGTGTACAGAAAAGTACAATTTTCTGCACGGAGAGAAATAGATACTAAGATCTTATGATCTTAAGATGGTTAAAAGTAGATGTTATCCGATATCATCATTATGCTATTAGGTACCATCAAAGATGTTACATCGCCTAAATGTTTAACGTGCAAGACCTCCCTATACAGGTATACAAGCACCATCAAAGATGTCACAATCGAATCACGAATCGAATCAATTTTAAAATTTCCTCCATATTGGTTTACAATTTTGAACTTTTTAAATTTTACCTCAAATTTGGATTCAGCGACCCCAAAAACTCCCGAGTACAAAATTTTAAACGAAACAAATCAATTTAAAATTATTCTGTCATATTGGGTCCGCCATTTTGAAATTTTTTAATCTGAACTCAAATTCGGATTCAGCGAGTTAGTAATCGAAAACATAAGAAATTCTGATATAAACAGCGCAATACAAACTATTTTGGAATAGAGGATTTTTTATAAAACAATTGCAATGTTTGGAAATGGATAACAATGGTTGGACTTATAAAAAAAAAAAATTTAAAAAAACAAAAAATTCATAATTTTATGAGTAAGTTACTGTAATTTGTGTTAATTTAAAGTGGTTTAAACAAAGATAATACATAGTTGCTCATATTTTTTCAAAATAAAGTAATTTTGCCCTGCATTTTACCCATTTTTCATCCGTTTTTGTCATTTTTTGTCTTTTTTTAAAAAAAGTGGTATAATTTTTTTGTTTTAATCGCTATTAAAAATTGTCAAAGGAAAAAAGTGTTTCTTTTTACTTGTATTTTTCGAAAAAAATTTGAAAAAATTTTTTTTTTGAAAAATGCGAATTTTAGGAATTTTTAAAAACTCAAAATTTGAATAATTTTGTTGATTTTTGACGAAATCATCTGGCCAACGAACTCAGGCGAGATTTTGGTACACTTAAAGTGTATACCAAATTTGAAGTCGATTCATTAAAATTTGTTCGAGTTATCGTCGGACCAAATTTTGTCTACAGACATACATACAGACAGACATTTTTTTAAGACCCATTTTTTCGGCATCAGAAAGTCTCAAAACGTCGAGATTTACTGGAATTAGAGAGGGCTCAAAATCGCCCAAATGTAATACCTTCTCATTATGATGAGAATGTAAAAACAGGGAATGCACAGTAGGCCAGGATCGACAAAATGTGGACAAAGTTGAAAATGTTTGTAGAAGGTTAAAATAATTTTTTTTCAAATTTTGATACGTTAAAAAGTATCTACAGAATAAAATAAAGATATTATTATTATTACAGAACAAATATTAGGAGTTTTATTATACTATTATATATTATTAATGCCAAAACTTTAAAATATGAATAAATTTCTGTACAAATTTAACTATACAGATTTAAATATTTTAGGTATCAATTCTTAAAAATTTATTCTTATGATTTTTATTTGTTTTGAGTACATATTAATCTTTGATATCTAATGTCTCAAAGACATCATAAAGACATCCAAAGGACTTCTTCAAGACGTTCTATGTCTGGCCAAAAGACGTCTGAAAGACATTCGAAAGGGACGTCTTACACTGTAAAAAAAATTAGTGAGTTAACGTTACTGGGAGTTAAGAGTTAAAATTTTCGTGTTAAAAATCAACTCAGAAAGAGAGTTAATAATTAAATTAACTCCTTAAAACTAACTCCCTAAGCATAAAATTAACTCGTAAAGCATTAACTCCCTTCGCTTATTCAACTCCAAAAGGGTGGGACTTTTATACACGGAAAAAAAATTCTAGTATTATCAACAGGATCTCTAGCGCTATCTATAAAACCCGTTTGGAGTATTCAATTATTATAAACAAACAAATCTCATAGAGTGTGTCACAATACAATTCGTTGCGCATGCACTATGCCTCTGAACTAACGCAAATCGGATTGTGCTGTTCCTAATTTATGTGTTTGAAACACAATTTTCTTATAGTCTACATGACAATTTATAGAATTGTCTTTTCTAAAATTTGTAGTGTTTTCGCTACAAGAAATTTTTTTCTGTGTAGCATCCCCTCACAGTTTTCTTGTGTGTATCAAATTGATACAAGAATGAAGATCAACTCATGCAACGTTTTAAATCAATATAAGATATCAAATTGATCCAAATATTTGGATCATTTTCAAGAAATGATCCAGAATATGGGATCATTTTTTGATACCTGAATTGATATCAAAGTATAACTGTCATGGCTGGCATGCACTTATTGACAAATTTATTATTTAATTTATTCACTTCACTGAATATTAAGATATTAAAAATACTTTTATTATGAATGTTAAGAAAGAGAGAAGCGAAAACTTATCAATTGTGAACAATTAAATAAGAAAAAATTTATTTGGAAATAAAATGAAATACACTAACCTTTATTTATGTTTATCACATAAGATTTAAGTTACCCAAGTAGAAATGTGCCACTGGCATAGTACTGACCCAACACTGCCAGTCAGTATAACAGTACTGACTGCCATACTGGGCCAGTAGTGGACCAACCCTGGCTGGTAACGCTGTCCAGTACTGATTTTGTCCCGCTCACCAGTACTAACGTAGTACTAGAATAATACTGGCATAATACTGGCAAAGTACTCATCCGGACTTAAAATCTCACTTTTTTACAAAATGCTAAAACACGCTTTCCAATGCAAATTTCATCCTTATTAGCTTATTACTCCCATTTTTACCACGAACAGGTAATGTGAAGCCAATAATAGTTAATGTTATTTAGAATATATAAAATATTATTAACAATAAATAATTAAAATAATAATTATCATTTATATTAATTAAATTATTTTATTTTTAATAAATTATTTTACAAAAAATAATTTGTGTTGTAAATTTTTTTATTTTTTTAAATTCATAATATTTAATTTTTTTTACTTTGCACTTATACTTAATTTAATAATTATTTAATAATTGATATTACACATGAACAAATATTGTACTTATAACACTTAAAACTAAGAACGAAAAATCTCGCACGCATGGGGGATCGAACCCTAAACCCTTAGAACGCAAGTCAGATACGCATACCGCACAGCCGCGCTGGCTTGAAGTGCTGACTTGAAGTAGTTCACCTAATACAAAAGTTTTGATTTCAAAGTTTGTATTATCTATTGATCACGAAAATAAAATGAATTTATTCTTAAATTTTTTCAATTTTTACAAAGATTTAATGAAATAAAACTGGATATCAATTTCAGTTAAATATTTTTAATAAATTATTTTTACCGTAAATACTATTAAAACAGACAAAAATGATTGATGAATTACATAATTAAAAATAAGTTAATAAAAGACGACTGTAAAATATGAATGGTAAAAAATTTTTTAAATTTAATATTTAATTATTAATAATTAATAATATTTAAAAATTACAGTGAAAAAATTACATTTGCTTTATTTTTAAAACTATTAGAAAAAAATTCTCAACTTATTGTTATTGTATGCATGATAAATAACTTAATGCACATATTTCAATGAGTACTAAAATAACTAAAAAACATAAATATATTTTATATAGGTATATAATAATACATTACAAATACATCCACAATTTTGAGGGAAAGTATTCGAAAGAAATTAATATACATTTTTTTAAATAAAAAATCATCGTTTTCTACCTATTGAAATAATTTAAAGACTTTTTCATTTAATGTTTTTTATCACCGACATAGTACTGATTCGGTGTGAATGACAGTGTACTGCCAGTACTGGTTTTAATATTTTTTTACCTCCGACATAGTACTGATTCGGTGTATTAGTCAGTACACTGTCAGTACTGAAAGTCAATACCGACAGCCAGTATTGGATCAGTACCATGCCGGTGTTTAATTACGGCGAGCTACGGATATTTCTACTTGGGTAAGTTCACAATCGCACAACACTAGAAGATTTTTAATTATTTTTATGGTTTAAATAATTATCAATAATTTATATATTATAAATCAACAAAATTTAAGCAATGCACTCTTGATAAATATTTCTAATACGTTGTCAATTAATGCAATTAATAATTTCCTATTACAAAATATTTTCGTCCAAAGCAGAGTTGGGTAGAATTCTGTTTCACGTTTAAGGAAAACGCACGTGTAATTTTGAAATAGGGAAAAACTGAATAATTATTTTTTAATAGTTTTGTTAAAAATAATTTGAACTGTAAAAATAGTGAAAAAAATTCAAATGTTGCGATCTTTTTTCAGACATATGAAAATTCTATTAATTAGAAATTCTGATAAGAGTGTCGAACGTTGTCTTGATCAAAAACATGAAAAACTATAGTCTGTTTCACGTTCACCTCTTAATTGCAATGTTTTAACTAATGAAATTTAATGATTACTGTTAATATTAAATG